TCTTGGATGAATAGAAAGTTCAAAAGAACAGCATTTATTTGAAATTGAAGCCTTTTGTAACATTATACATTTCTTTACTATCACTTTTGAACAATTTAATGCATAAATAATATCATAGCAACCCCATACTTTTGTATGGTAGTGTTTCTTAAAATACCACACAAATATCATGCCGCATTAATTTTAGTATCATGCCACATTGCAGTGAACACTAGTGATTGTTTGACGGTCCTAACAATTGCAGTCAAAACGTCTGTGGTAGAAAATAGGAAGTGGTTTTGGACAAGACAATTATGTTGAAATCTTTTGTAACTCAAGATGCTAAATTATGTTTTGCAGTTCACTGTTGTGGCTCCTTATGTCAGTGCAGCAGGGTGTTATGTCTACACGTAACCTCTGGATTGAGGCTTTTTGTTTTGATGAGCAAACGCTTTAGGATTTCCTGGCTCTTTGTGTGCTGCATGGCCACAATAGACCTTCCTATAAACGGTGTTAACCCTTAGCTTTTACCGTTTGTCCTTGACACTGTTTATAATGAAACAAGATATAGTAAGCACTACAGTACTGTTTTGTCTTTACAATCACTAAATTGAGCAAAAACATACACTGTGTATGCAAGCACTTTTACTTATTTTTTGTTGCAAATTTACTTTGGTCAGTACATACCTTGATATATGGTTGTAAATGCTCATCATTCAGTACAATGATATTCATCACTGTACCATAGTACCACTATAGTACGTTTTGTAATGTTTGGGGACTGTATGTATTTCTCTCACGCTGTTAGTTGCTTAATTTCTCTTGGTCGTAGTTATTAAACATTAGCTTTGAACTCACTGTTTGTAGTTGCAATCTCCGGTTCAAAATTTAAAATGTATTATAAATGCAAACTCAAAGAATTATGCTTTAGCAAGTGAGTTGGATAATCAAATGTAAATTTCTAATTTTATTTTCTGTCTTTTGTGCTCTTGTAGAACTAAAATGTGTCATTTCTGCAACCATTAGTGTCACCAAATGGAATTGCAAAAACAAGGAGTATTTTCAAATTGGTTTTCCAAACACTGCCATTGGTCAGGCAAACTCTTAACCCCGCCCCCAAACTCATACCATTGGCGGAGCATTGTTTTGTGCCACAAAACCATAGTGTTTAGACTTTTTGGGAAAATCAGAATTGTATTGTATAGTATTAGATATAAAAGTATATTGATATTATTATTACTACTACTACTACTACTACTACTACTAATAATAATAATGTTATTTATAAATTTATTATTAATAATATTAATATAATATATAATTAATAATTATATGAAATTATGAAATATTCAGTTATGTAATATTAGAATATAATATTATTTTTATGCAAGGGTCTACCAAACCATTAATATTTTTGGCGGAGCATTGTTTTGTGCCACAAATCCATAGTGTTTAGACTTTTTGGGAAAATCAGAATTGTATTGTATAGTATTAGATATAAAAGTATATTGATATTATTATTACTACTACTACTACTACTACTACTAATAATAATAATGTTATTTATAAATTTATTATTAATAATATTAATATAATATATAATTAATAATTATATGAAATTATGAAATATTCAGTTATGTAATATTAGAATATAATATTTTTATGCAAGGGTCTACCAAACCATTATTGCTGGGTTCTTATTCATGAGTTAATTTTCTGCTTTAAAGGGGTCATATGATGCGATTTCAAGTTTTCCTTT